GAAGTAGCTAACTTATGTCTCATTGCCGTCAAAGAAGATTCAAAGGCAACTTCTAACTCTTGTGATTTAAATTCTGTTGAATTATGGTTCGATATTAGGCCTGTAAATGAACTGAACGTTCAGCGAACCGTTCATGAATCGTCCGGCGGGAAGTTCGTTTATGTGCGTTTTTTATTAAATGAAGAACATGAACAAGATTTTGTGTTCGTTTAATTAAATGAACGAACATGAACATAGGTCTCGTTCGTTTATTTATGTTCGTGAACGTTCGATTATGTTCGTTCGGTTATGTTCGTTTATGTTCATTCATTTATGTTTAACCCAATCTTCTTAAATCAATTTTGGTGACCAATTTGTAAGTATCTTAAAAATAATAATTAATCTATGACAAACTCCATAATTAACCCAATTTTATTTGGAGATTAAATCCAATATGTTAACCCGTGAGGCACCTCGCACCTATATTCATTTTCCCCCCTTTTTTCCCCAAACCCTAGTATTCACTGGAGAGTGGAGACAATCGCTGAAAGCTTCAAAACAAGTTATATTATAGTGCAATCTGAAGTTTTACAGGTCTGTTTTCATCTCTTTCTCTGTTTTATTTGGCTTACTAGTTGATATGTAAAGTTATTGCGGGTATCTTCACATCTAAAACTCAAGAAAACATTATACTTCTTTCTAGAAATAGATGGGAAGATAAAGGTAACAATCAGAAGTATATGAGCATCTATAAAGAGAAAAATATATAGAATTTGCCAGAAAACAAAACAAAGGTTTCTATGCAATTTCTGCAAAAGAGTGTAATAGCGGAAGTAATGGGTTTTTCAGGAAGAACCCATTAATAAGTAGAAAGTACACTTTGACAATGAACTTTTGTTTTCATAGTTTTTGTGTGACCTTTAGTTGTGGAGTAGACTTTAGGTACGTTAAAATTTTGAATGGTGGTTTAGCAATAATATCAGTTACAATATGTAGCATCGAAGGGATTTCAGATCTATGTTGTTGTCTTGTAGTCCAATTTGTACTGTTCAAAATATGCATGCTGTTAAATTTTCTACTCTGCCAACGGAAAAGACCATTATTAACAAACCTCACTAAAGTCTGACATTGATGTCACAAAACTTTTAGCCGGTGAATTTATTAGAATAACGTAGTGGAAAATGATTGTTCATTTGTAATCATGGACCACTAAGATAAATGTTATAGCGTTAAATTAAAGTCGTGTGAATCATTTAATATCTTTGAAAGATCGATCGAAATATTTGATATCTTCAAATATTTCATCATTGCTAATCAGCTCTTACGCTATTTATCACTGTAGATTTGGTTGATTTGCATTGTCGACTATTTTTCATGAAAGAACAATAGAAGGTAGGGTCTCCAACGTTTATGTTCGTTTATGTTTATGTTCGTTTATGTTCATGTTCGTTTATGTTCATGTTCATTTATGTTCGTGTTCGTTTATGTTCGTGTTCATTTATGTTCATTTATTTATTAAATGAACGAACATGAACAAGTTATATTCCTTAATAAACGAACATGAACAAAAAAAATTTGTTTGTTTATGTTCGTGTTCGTTTATGTTCGTTTATTTATTAAATGAATGAACATGAACATACCTCCGTTCGTGTGTGTTCGGTTCGTTTACAGGCCTATTCGATATAACAAATTTAAAGGGAAAATGTTTTTGGAATTGAATTGAATTTATTCAAAGTTTTAAAAAGGTTTCAAAAATAATTCAAACTCCATTAAATTCGGATTTGAGAAAAAAATGCTAAAGGGTGTCAAAGTGCATCCATGCACCCCTGCAGTGCATTCATACATCCCTGCACCTGTAGTGCATCCATGCACCTCCACTAGTGCATCGATGCACCATGTAGTGCATCCATGCACTCCATTTCGAATGCAATTAGTGCATCGATGCACCTTGCTGTGCATCATGCACCAAGGCTGCAACAACTAGTTTATTTGAATTTAATGAAGGGGTATTGATGCACCTTGATAGTGCACCATGCACCATGTTATGGGCAACCTTTTTGAGTAGAAAAATCATCCCCAAACGGCTCCAAAACATCCCCAACGGTTATATACGACATCAAATACATTCCAAGCTATAAATACAAGCTAAGGACACTTGAAGAAGTAAGATAACAACTATCCAAGCAATCAAACACAAGAGAAGAGTTTTTCATTCTTATTTCATCTTTCTCTTGTAAATATTTTGTTCTTGTGTGCTTAATTCTTGTAAACACCTACCTTAGAGAGGTTTTCTTGTTTACATTTCTTATCCTTTTGTAAAGGGGAAAGGTTCTAGTTTAGCCTGGAAAAACTAGGGAGTTGTAAGGTTATCTCTTTGTCCTCAAAAGAAAGAACAAATTAGTGAATTTGTTGGAAAATCCTTGGTGAGGAGCTAAGGTAGTGTACGTGGACTTTGGTTGAGAAAGTCGAACCACTATAAATCGTTGTGCAATTATCTATCTTTCAATCTCCTTACTCCCTAAACACAAAACCGTTCCGACCCCTTTTTGCAAACCATTCCGGTTGTCGATTCGAGCTTACGAAAATCCCAACAAATTCTTATTCATTTAAAGAGTTACAAGATTTGGAATTTGAGACCATAAATTCCAAATATAAGAAATTAATTTCCAAATTTAAAGTTGAAAATGATTTTCTTTTGAAAGCAAAAAATAGATTTTGAAAAACAAAATGAAATTTTGAAAAATAATGTTGAGATTTCAAGATTCAAAATCAATGATTTAGAAAAATAAAATATTGATTTAAAAGTTAAGCTTGGATGCTTAACAAAAGAAAAAGAAATAATTTCTCAAAACAATTCATCATGTTTAAAAATGGAAAAAATGCTCACATTGTCTTTTTCATGGTCACTTGGAACATATTTGTCCTTTAAAACTTAGAAAATTTTTAAAATTAGGCAAGTATGGGTTCCTAAGGGAACAAGAGAATTTTGCACTAACATTCAAGGATCCAAAACAATTTGGATACCCAAAGCTATATAAATGTTCTTGTAGGTGTGTGAGAGCAATTGTGTCACAAGTGAAGAAATTCAAATGCTCTAGCCACACAAAATGAGGAATGAGTAACCTCTAGGCTTAATGTTTTTGTATATTGGTTGCCTATTTTATTTTATGCAAGCATGAGTTTTGAACATATACTAGTATTTGACCATACAAATGATAGGCATATACTAGTATTCGACACTCATATTTGAATCTAAGCAAAATAGCATCTCTGAGGTAGGGGTGAGTATTCAATCAAGTCGAGTCGAGTAAAAAAATGAGTTATTCGAGTTGATGATTCCTATTTTAGAACTCAAATTTTAATTGAATTTTTTCCGAGTCGATTCGAGTTCATGAAAATCGAGTCGAGTAGTTCAAGTTTTTGTTTAAATTTAGTTGTAAAAATTTATAATGTCATGGTACTAATTGAGTCAAATTTAAACTGTCTTCTATAACCACATATATATACATATATCATGAAAAGTTGAGGGACTCGACACGAGCTTGAAAACCAATCCACTAATTACTAAAAATTTTGAGTTATTCGAGTCCTATTTTATAATTTGACTCGAATTTAAAAATTTTCGAGCTGAGTTTATGAAATTAAGAGTCGAGTTTTTTAATGTCAAGTCGAATCGAAAAAATCAATTTTTTTCTAATCAAGTTTTGCTCAGCCCTACTCCTTGGATGTAAATTCTATTTGGTATAAATATCACATAGAGACATGATTATGACTTAGCATTGTAACTCTTAAAGTGTTGCACTTATAATGTCATCGAACAAATTCAAAATTCTCGGTAGCTATATTTTTTTTCTATTTGCTTTAGTAAGCAGGTCTTCTATGTTCGTCAGAAACATATGGCATCCCGCTGATGTTTCTGCATTGAAGGACATTGTTTTTGTGAGTTTGCTTTTTATCTCGGTGACTCTTTTTCTGTTTGCAGATTCCTGCTCAGAACTTAACAATGAAACGCCTCAGAGGTTATGAAATAAAGGTAGGTACCATTATTTTAATCAAGTGATCTTTCCAAACATATATGCTGACTATTTCTTCAATCATACATGTATTTGTAATATACCCTTGGACGTGCCCCTGAGCATGTCGTCTTATAGTTTTGCCGAGCCTTCTACTGTTCCACATGGATAAATGAAAAAGCTGGCTTGCATTGCAAAATAAACCTATGTTACTCAGACTAAAGGATGACTGGTTGGATCTCATGCTATTGTGTGAACCTTTGCGCCAATGTCTATGGACCCAAAAGTTTAGTCCGTGACACTATGCTCAAAACATACTTGGATATGATTGTAGGATACGAATACTTCAAAAATTTATATATATGAAGAGTTGGAGTTAACTCCAAATGGTTCTCGGAATATCTATGCATTATTCCACAATTAAATAAAGTCATAATTGGTTACCAAAGGGGTTTGGCCTAATTCAAAATATATAATAACAATTGGTTCCCAAAATTGTATCAATTCGATCCTACTTTAAAATTTATAATAACAATTCTATTTTATGTTAGGACCAAATCAGTAGAATATGTAAATTGTAGAAATTAAAAATATTATTACGTCATAATTTATGTTAATTTTTTAACTGTTAATGATTAAAATAGAACAGGACAGGACTAATAGTATGTGACCTATGGTGTAGTTTATACCCTAAATAAAAATAATAATTAATTGAAAAATAGGTGGCCAATCATATAATTTACTTATCAAAGTAAAGTTCCTGCAACTTCATTAAATTTAACACTAATATTTTTTCCTTACACCAACCAGCTCGATACGAGCTTTTAAATTTAACTTAATAGATTAAATTTGCAAAAATTATTAGGAAATCAAATTTAATAAAATTTATAATCATATGTAATCCAACTCAAACAAAGATTTTATAAGTGTATATGTTATTATAGATCAAAAAATATTTTTTTTATAGTTTTAGTAATAAGATCAATTTATCCAAAATTTCCTTCAAACGAGCTTCTTTTTTCTTTTCTTTTCTTTTTTCAACCCAATCTTTTTTCCAACAATTTTAACTCAACTCTACAAATGCCACTCAATATAATCTAAGATCGAGAACAAAGATCAAAATGCCCGGCAAAGAATGGAAGTGATATAAAAGTTCTTATCTAGTATCTGTAAGACGGACCAGACTGTGGTGGTGCAGGTGGCAACCTAGTCGGTGTCCTACGGCTGCTGGATCTTGAACCTAAACCCTCATCCCCATCCTGTTCTGGGTCGCTATACCGACGGCTATGACCATTCGACCCGTATCTACCTGAACCTGTAGGTCCATTTGCAGCAGCATCAAATGCATTCCTCCAGTCATCACCTGGTGAGGCTCCGCTTGCCCGTAGACTGCTTTCTGTATCTCAAAAAACAGGGAAGAAAAATCGTATTTCAGGTATTAAGTCATAAAATCATTACAATACAAAACAAGCATTCCATAGGTAATCCACATCAATTTCTATGTTAGCTCTCATTCTTCAGGTTTTTTCCCTGAAAGAATGGCGTGTCCAATAGAAAAGTACAATCCTCCAAATGCGTTAAAAACAGAGAAAAAATTGGACATACTCATATTGGACAACTGTTTCCGAGACTCATTCCAGGCATATAGTATTAACAATGTGCATGCAATCATCTTTGCAGAACCAGGCATCATTGGATTTTACACAAACTGAATCAAGAAAATAATACCTGCTGCACTGTCATTAGACCAGCTGGAGGCGGCAGCAGCTCGATTGTCATGGATGCTAAGTTGCTTTGTAAGTTTCGAAAGAAGAGAAGATTGTTTTTGGTATCTCTCCCTCTTGCGTTTTGCATTTTGGTCCTCCATGAGCAGTTCTTCAATCCTACGGTCGCTTATGGAACTGACCACCAAAGCATAAAAGAGTGAAGTTACTCCCCCAAAGAATACTAAGGCAACAAAAGCCAATAAAAATATCTACACCAAAATTAAAAAACGACAAGAACTATTTTCAACAGCCGTGCATGGATGTCAATTGCATGATCTTAAAAGGCATTTTCACATGAATAAAAAGTGTTTTTACTCCTTGTAAACTAGGTGAAATAAATAGTACCGACCTCACAGAGCTATATAACTGAATAAGCATGTCTTCTTTTGCTTTCTCTACTTGGCAAAGAACGACGGCCTGCTTAAAAAAAAGACGATTAGAAATGATATATCAGGTTATCAGCAAAAAACAATAAAAGGCCATTCAACAGAATAAACTGACCTTTGGAACATTGGCAGCAAGGCTGTTAAGAACAGCTTCCACGTATCCACGCACTTCTTGGGACATCCACCGAAGTTCTTCTTCAGGATCAGCAGGTTTTCTTGCCATTGTATCCTGCAAAGGGAACATGTGTAATGTTGAAGAGGTATGCTTATCAAAAAATTTGACAGACACACATTCTGTATTTTTGCCGGTCAAGCTGCGCATTGTGCAATTTTTAAGCAAAGATTGATTCATAGCTAAAAATTGATCAAATCAAATTGAATGACCAAATTAGCAAAAACCAATCTAAACCAAAATACCCTAAGATCAACAAAGAACTGGCAAACTCCCCAAGCAACCCAAACTAACTGGAATTAACCAATAACTCACTCAATCAAAAGGAAAAAAACAACTCACAAGTGAACCATCAGATAGACTTTGCCTCATTGGAGGACTGGACTCAACCTTAACTTGACCTCCTTTAGATTCAACAACAGTTTTTAACTTCTCTAACCACTCAGTCTTATCTGCAATGCTCTCAGCCTTCAACACAACAGCACTATGAGCTGCAAAATAAAATTGAAGCATATAATCAAGAAGCAAATTGGTACAAGAACAACAAAATCAATTTAATAGAACTTGTAAAACCTTTCAGAACTGTCTTATATGGAATCCTGCTAGTAATCTTGAATACAAGACTGGGTTCTTTTTCTGGTCCAGTTGTCTTCTTATCCTTGGAACTTTTGGATGAGCCACCTTCATCATCAGCAACTTCCTCAATGTTGCATTCCTGATGATTAAAGAATTAGAGAAGCAGGCATTGATATTGATGAAAAGCCTAAATATTTCAATATGAAAATTGTTATAGAGATCATCATATCTATAAATCAGAGCAATATAAAAGCTAACAATTCTTTAATCCCAATCAACAATAATAGGATTCCTACCTGCAAGCTAAGACCAAAATTCTCCCTCATACACCAGTCTTTCCTTTTAAAGTATAACTGAAGTAATTTACAAATGGTACAGAAAGAAGCTCTCTTTCTTTATCAATACCCCTGAGTGGAGCGGTCAGGAGAAATCTTGAATGCACCAAGTGAATTGAGGACTACACCCTTAAGATTTCCCAAGAAAGGAACTAAGGACACTCCAAACCATATATCAAAATTTTGGTGATAGTTATTCACATTTATCATGTGTTCTGATCGTTGATTATTTTCATTATCAATAACTATTCTCAAATTATTTCAGAACATATAAAGAAACTTGCAAAGAGAAAGCAACGGAGAAAATAGGGAATGCATATTGTACATGATGCATCATTAAAATTTGAAGCAAAAATTAATCAATTTCTATAATCACAAAAGGAGAGAATCCCAGTAATGAAGAAAATTTAACAATCAGAAAATGTGCATGTGTATATTAGGGCTCACAAAGCAATGAAGAGGAAGAACTGAACATCAACAACATACCTCCAATGTAATGACACCACGAAAATGTCTTTCCTCTTGTTTTTTTGTGTAACCAAGCTGCAGCAAAGATAACTGTTAAGCAACATTACTTGAACAAAGAGAAAATAATATGGATTATCAACTATACACACTCCCATGCTAAGATAGAAACAACTAAAATTAAATGAAGCACAAAACAGTAACCTTGCCAGTTTTCTCATTCAAAACAAACCATCGCCTACTCCATCCATTTGTTTTTCCACTTTTCTTCAGTAAAAAACCTGTGCATGTAAAACATACAATTGATGCTAAACCAAAATAAGCTTAATACATGGCGAATAGTTGCAACCAAACTTGCATAGTATTTGTATCTTGTTTAGATATTTATCCCTCCCAAGTGTTCCCACCTTTCATACCAGCTAAACCAAAGAAAACTAGAAGATTCTGAGAAAGAAAACTAAAACTTAACTGGTAGGAAGGATGGAAAACTTGATAATCTAGTCATTAAAATTCATGTCCTACTTTATAGCTTAACATTACATGACAAGTTTTCTGTCCTTTCTACCTATCGGAGCATAAAGGTTGAATGAATACATGTTTGCAGCCAGCTGGGGGAAGTGAGGATTGAACATTTCATAATGGGGACTATTGATAGGTTATAAGTAGCACTGTTATGAGTTTAAAGAGTAGTCAATGTGCTACAAAAATGAAGACACTGTTTTTACATGTGAAGTGTTCTATACCCATTGCTAAAATCCTGACCTTTAATGTATCTAAAATTTCAAAACCATCTCTGCTTGTTGTCAGGAGTTCAATTTTACAAAACAGACACAAAATTCGATTCAAACTAAAACCTGCTTGTTTTGGGAATTTCAGGAGGGTGAAGTGCCCTTGCTTAGATATTGTGGTTCTGCTCCTGAGAGATACATCAAGTCAGCGATATGTTCATTATTTAGCAGATCACCGCTTTAAATTTGATATTTCCACAAGCACAGAACTCTTCTGATCAAACAACTCAATTGATAGGAATACCATTTAGAAATGGCATTGCAGGAAAGGGAAGAAGTTCAAGGCTATGACTCCGGATAGTGGATTAAACAATAAATTTCATGATAATATTTCCAGATGCCCAGTTTGATAACTAACCTGCTGTTATCTCACCACCAGGTCCAGCAGTCTTTAAGGCTGATCCCTCCGGTACATCTTTTTCTTTCTTGCTTAATTTATCCTTCAACGATTTTAAGTTTCCTTCAGATTGTTGTCCACCGGTTTGAAGACCAATTGCCTAAAAAGAGAAATGAAGAAAACAATCTGTCAGAGAAATGTAGTCACCAATAAGCTTGTTATTATAAAATATCTATCACAGCCACTTAGAAAGTCCAAACTCAGTTGAGAATTGCCTGCTCAGCATCAGGTGCCTTCTTGGAAGACCGGTTTTTCACCTCATCTTCTCGTCGTTGTCTCTCCATTCTATTGAAAAGTAATGGATAAGGAAGTCGGAAGAAAACAAAAGAAAAAGTTGCTTCAATTATTGAAGAAAGAAACCAGAAAGCCACAAAAAAAAAACACCATTAGATGTAAAGAAAAATTATCTTAACATACCGCCTCTGCACCAGGCGAATGAAATGCTGAGGGGGAACAAATGCACGCTCCATGTCCACTAGTGCAACTACCATCTTTTTTGATTCACTTTTAAAACCATCAAGTGCAGCACTTGCAATTGCCACAACCTGGTTAATTTTTTAAAAGGAAAAGAAAGTATTTCACTTGCATTGGTCTAAACAACCATAAAGCATATATGAACAACAGCTTTGCATTATTGCCTCTCTCTTGAAAGGAGCATATCTCCCTAGACCAGGTGTAGCATTTGCAGCAGCACTAATGATATCCAGCAACACACGATGAACCTGTTTTGACAAGCACCCAAAAGGAATAGAAAAAAGAGAGAAAACAACACATTGAGGTGAATATCGCACAAGGCAAACCAGCAGCTATAACTTGAAAATTTTCAATAACATTCGTCACACAGGAGAAAGTTCCAGCAATAACATTTTAATTGTTAGTAAAGATGAATGTATTATGAAACATGCTGAGATGTATAACTTAGTATACATTTTTATGTATTTCCAATCAATTTAAGCATTAATGTTATTGCTAAACTGACTATTTTTGGAGCCAGATCACTGTATTAACAGCATAATGTTATATCCACATAAACATTGAACAAATACATGATGTTAAATTATGTTATTGGTGCCCTACCTTCATAGTTAGGTTGCTAAGGAATAATTCCCAACACATCTATAGAACAAAACCTCATTTCCTCACCTATCAAATAGTAGCAAAAACTTGCACAAGAACTCATAAAACTTTGAGAAAACAGATGCAGAAAACATAAAAGGTCTATGTATGGATTGGTAGAAAACATACTCAGAAAAATGCAACAAACAGGAAACAACCATTAAGAAAAACTTTATACATAAGTATAGGCTCAGAGCCACAATATAGATTTACCTCATCAACGCACAAACAAGATGGCTCTTTTGCTAGCTCCAAGACACCTTTTATCAGAGATCTTAAACCCTTCTCTGGAGATATCAGATAGGGTTGATAACCATCTGCTTCTAGGACAACCTGAGAAAAAATAACAATGCGAAGTCAAAGAAACAACTAATACATATCAACTTAACAAGGCACAAAAAATGAAGGCAAATTGATAATAGAATCTACCCTTTTGACATTGTTTATATCAAAATGTCTGTCCAAAGGGAGCTGCTTAATCCTGTTGGGAAAACTGCCCTCGAAACTAGAAACAATTTTCCAACCATTTCCCTGAATATTTGGGGGCAGAATTAAAACAAGCAGAGGATTATCAACTCACATGTAGCGACAAACTTCATAGATTCATCTAAAAAAGATTCTTTTTGAAAAAGATTAATTGTGCAAATAGTTCTTTAGCCCTCTGTTGCAAAGTGATGAGCATTCCACTTCAAAAAGTAGTAACTCACTTCACCACCCGTTATGTGTAGCAGAAATTTGTCCTCAAATTCCCGACAGAGCTCCAATGCGACAGCTCTCGTACCTTCGGCAGTACTAATCATTTGTTCACCAAGCCTCCTTAATTCATCCTGGATTATTTGAGACTTCCCTTGAAGCCTGGCATTTTTAGAAAGGAAGAGTTACAAACCTAAAAATGGGCATGGGAATATGGAATATTTTAAAAATACATATATTTAAAAACCAAGTTTAGCATGAACTTTTTTGTTGCTACAGAATATAAGTTTTGAAAAAAGAAAAAGAGAGGAATTTTAACAATTTCACTACAAAGAAATAGTATCTATTTGAAAAGGGAAACATGTATTGACCCAAATTGAAAATGATTCAGACCAATACAAAAGAGTTATCACAATCGGGGCTGAACATACTCAAAATGCATGGTTTTGGTGTGATACTATCAACCTCACATATATTTGATATCTAATAATAGAACAGAACCTTAACGTTGATAATTCACTTGCCAATCATGCCACTATCTTTGTGAATATATCTAATAAGCTACTATTTTACAACAGTCAAACTCACAACAATTTTCAATTTAATATCATACTAAGCTTAGAAAACTGACACTCTAAGCTAAGTATGATATTAAATTGAAAATAGGGAGGCGGATGAGTTGGCAAAAAAGGGAATTGGGTTTTGGGGTTTGGTAGTTCTTTGAGTTTCTCTGTTTTAGTGTCTTGGTGGATTCCGTGTTTTCTGCTATGTAATCATAGGGGTTTTCCCTTATTAATAAAATCTGAGGTACTCTTTTCCTCCATCCGCTTTTTGCCTTGAAATCTTTTCGATCTCTGGCAATTATGAAGGGTTTTTTAACGAGATCTCCAATTCTTATAAAAAAAATCATACTAAGCTGAATAGGGGTGGTACAAATACCTTTTATAGTACAACCAAGACCTTTTAAATACAATGTTTATCTTAGAGGCAGATATATGTTTGCACAGATTCAGAAAGCAAAAAATTGACACTTGTCTTTGGCAACTCTCTCATTAAACCTTGGGAGTTGAAATAGAAAAATTCAGCAGCAAACTAGGGTCTACCAAACCAGCATTTCTACTTTCTAGGCAGTATTAGAATGCAGTAAACCAAACGAGTGTAGCAATTTAGCAGACTTCCTTACTTGCTTTAACAGTAAGCATGGAATGTAAGGAAAGGGGGAAAGCAAGTACCCAGAAAGTAGATTTGGAAGCCTGAGTTTCATACGGTTACGTATCTGGCCAGCAAGTACATCTACCAAAGCAACTCTCCCTAGCTTGTTTTGAGGGGCTCCAGTCAAAATAGATTTTAGACTTTCACTCTCAGCTTTCCAAGCCATTTCTAAAGAATTGTCAGATGAAGCACTTCCAGATTGAGTTGAAGCAATGGAAACTGATTGACCAATTAGAGCAACCCATGGGATATCAGAAGTTTTAGGTGGCCCCTGATTTGACAAAAGAGCCTGAACTGCTGCAAGGGCTTTTGAGTCTGAAGCAGCCTGATCAATTTTACTAATAATGCCAACAGTTCTGGTACCTACAATCAATTAAAAATTGACAATAAACTATTAGGAATCCAGGAAAAAAAATAGTGAAAAGTACTTCTTTTATCTTGTTTTAGCCTGGAGAAACGAATAATTAGAATATGCAAGCACCAAGATTTCCCACCTTCTGAGTCAAATTCCTTTGCTATCCTGAGGGCTCTAGATGATGAAATTTCTGGTGCCTGAGCAGCAGGAACAATAACGAGCAAAATAGCATCATTATGTTCAACATACTCACGGAGCTGAGGAGAAAAGTCAGAATTTGTTAGATAACTAACCTACCAAGCATCTCAAAAAACTGGTAAATAAAATGAAAATCAAGGAATAGTTAACACATTAGAATGTCCGATTGTTAAAAACTAAAACCCGGAGAAAATATCGCTCAGCCACTTACCAATGATTCATCCATAATTCTTTGCTCCAGTCCAGGTAAATCAATCAACTTTAGTGGTGGGGCTGTGTTAAGGAAAAAGGGGAGAAAATGTTAATAAAAAAAAAGAAGATTTATGTTGGACTTGGACATGCATATATATATATACAGACACACACGCAAACTCATAAGAGAATGTATCATAAGCATGCTCAAGTGAGAAAAGGAGGCAAGGGGAAGGGAAGCTTAAAATCATTCAAGAAATATGTTTGCCCTGATAAATTGTTCGTCTATGACACTACAATGAATGGTTTTATTGATTTTTAGACAAAATAAAACATTCACCATTTCTTCTACAGATTATAAATATTTTCTTTTCAAAGATCAATTTTCATGGATGATAATATTCCATAAACCAAAAAAAGCTTTTATCAGGTGTGCTGCTTCTATTCATAAGAGGAAGGAAAATGAAGAAATGCTGAGGTCATCATAAAAAAAATAAAGTTAGTTAGGACTCTGACTAAAATTCGTAGGTAATTATAAACAATCCAGCCATTGGCATCAATAAATTCAGTTCTGATAGGGTAAACTAATACATAAAAAGAATGAAGTCATCTAGTATCATTTGAAAAGAAAAAACAATCTTAAAACATCAGAAAAGAAAAATTCAATGGAGGCATCAACCTCTGATAGAAAAGATTTTACTTGTACATATTCTAAAACCACTAGAATCAATACTACAATTCAATAACATGAAGGCCAACCTGTACTGGTACGAAGCTTCAGATATATTTCATCGTGACTCCTGCCTGATGAACCTCTGCTTAACCTATCCTGCAGAGAATGCCGAAGTGCACCTACGGAGCACCAATTTGAAAGATGAAAAGAGGTCAGATAGGACACAAGACCAAATACACAGAGTAAATGATGAATAATGATGTATTTTCCAGGAGAAAACAAGCAACACTGTACCACACAAATGAAAAAGAAACAACAAAAATAGGGAAGGCCTTACTTGCAGAAACCTGTTGAGATTTATTGTCAATTTGCAAGATGATTGATTTAGTGCTTAAAGAACTATCCCTAGCCAAATCAACAGTGATGGGAGCTCTAGTGGCACCGTTTTCACCAGTTGGCTGTCAAAAAATACTATTATAAGCAAAGTCCTGTGAAAATAAAAATCTTCAACAACATGAAAAAGCCTAAAAGATATAAACATACCAGAAGAGGATGTCCAATTAGACTGTTCAAGACAGCAGATTTACCAGCCCCCTATTTGGTACATTCAGAAAAAGGGAAATCAAAATTTTAAAAGCAAATGAGTCCAAAAGAAGATTTCAACATCCCGTGGTAGGACAGAAACAGGTTAATTAAGACGCAGATTAGCAACTTCATCCGTTTTTAGGAAGGTTTAATCAATAAGCTACTTCCTTTTATTAAATAAACACACATTTAACATGGATAAATATATTCATAATCAGTTAGTTATGCTGCCTGCAGTACTGAAAGAACTAAACAAGGAAAATATAATCAATCAAGGTACACGATGAGATGCTAATCAATATCATACAGTAAAGAAAGTTTTGACTTTGGCCTATATTGTTACAAATAAGACACAAAATGCCTGGAAAATATAGGCAGAAAATAACAATACAAGATTTCATCCTAAACTTTTGAAGACAAAAAACATAGAATTGCAGCAGGTAATTGATGTAATCCTAAAATTTCCAAGAAAGATGTATTTTATATTCGAATCAATACACCTAAGGTATTGCATAACTGCTACAGACTGTGACGTTGAGTATAGTGAAGCACATTAAAAGAGAATTCAAATTAATGAAAAATAAATTAGCAATTAAGAAACTGCCTCTACTTTGAACAGAAAAAGTAAAAACGCAGCTTTAGAAAAATAAATATAATATTAGCCATGGTATTGCTCTCATATTTCCCCGACAAATCTTGCTTTTCTCAACCATATCAACATTAGCAATCCAACGAAAAAGAATGCAAATATATACTTATCGGCTTATCACCCTATTAGGAGTATCGCATCATTGGTGAAATCAATCAAATTGCACCCAACATGAAAATTATCCATAAAGAAATTAACATATATAGTTCGCTTCCATTTCTTTCCGTTGGCATCGAAAGCAGCCCAAAGATTACAATCTTTAGCATCTAAATGAAATATAAAATTCTGGCAGATCCAACAGAGAGCTTCAAAAGCTAAAAAATAAATTATCGGACGAAGGAACATACAACACTTCCCAAAGCTACGACGTTTAGGAAAGTGGATGAGCGTTTAGAGGTCGACGAGGATGTCTCGTCGACGTCTTCATCGGCTAGTACAGCAGCCGCTTGCCTCATCGCTTCCGAAAGCTCCGACAGTTCTTCGATCGCCTCCATTTTCCTTTGATTACGGTAACAAAAACAAAGAGATCAAAGCTTTAAAAGATCTAGAAAATCAGGGGAGGAGAAACCCTAGATTTATTTATGAATTTCACTTTTCCTGTAGTATTTTTTTTTGAAGAAAATGGATTCGATTCTTTTTATTTGTTCGGTTTCGTAAGTTCAAATTTCGATTTCTTTCAGCGAAATAGATGGAAATAATGAAGAAATAATAAAAATGACGGTTTTGTTTCTGGTCATGATTAAATAACCCAAATGCAACCAATAACGATAAGCAACAATGGATAGTTTAAATTCAATCTTTTTTAAACAAATAGTAATAAAATCCATTTTTTATATATATGCAGCTCGGAGCGGCAAACATAACTCATTTGAGTCATTTCACCCGATCAACGCATTAACACTTTTTAAATGCTTAATTTAAATATAGGTATCTAAAATATTTTAATTTTTTATTTAAATTATTTTAATGTATTTTTGAACCTTAATTTAATTTTATATGTAATTCAGTTCGAACAAACAATATTATATTTACATCTGTTTATTTATTTTTTAAAAAAATATTCATATTTGGTTCGTGTTCATTTAAAAATTTAATATCATGTATATGTTTTTTTTAAAGTGTTCGTATTCAATTCATTTAGCATTTGCGAATATATTCGTTTAACATTCGTGGACATGTTCATCAACTCGTTCATTTAACGTTCAACAACATGTTCATTAAACAAACAAATAAAATATATTTGATTCGAGAGAGTTTAATTAATTTATTGAGATGATTCATAACTCGACTAAGACATATGCGAAGCGGAAATGATATACATTTAAAAATGTAATGATAAAATGTTAGGCACTAATTTTGAGCAAAAAAAAACTTTAGACACTTAAAATTAACTTCAAGTATAGTTTATACCCTTGTTTTTATATTAAGATGTAAAAAGAGATATTATCAAAGTAAATGATGTTTAAATTTATTACATAAAACATTAGAATTCACCAATTAATTTTAATGATTAAAATAAATGTTATTATCTTTAAAGATCTTTAAGTAAAGTAGTTGAATACGTGAGTGTAAGTGCATTGTCATTACACAAACATATCTTACAATACATATATTAAAATTTATGTAAAGTATACAAGACATCAAATTTTTTAAATAAAAACGGACATCGTTAAAAATATCTCATAATCAAGACAAAGTATTGAACTTACTAGGAAAGTATACAAGAGATCAAAAGAATTATATACAAACAATTATTTGTTCACTAAATTTTTAAAAAATATAAAATAATTATTAAACTTATCGAATATTTATAAAATGATTAGTATATCAATAAGATAATAATAAATTTTTAATAAATTTAATGATATTTTTTAAAAATTAATTATTATTTTATAATATTTTAATAAATTTAATATTTTGTAATTATTTGATAAATTTAATATTTTTATAATATATTAATAAAATTATATAAATATAATTAAACGACCTATTATATCTTTCACCATAGAAAAAACCATTAAAACATTTATAAGTAAATGTCATCATATATGCATGCTTTTTTTAAGTTAAAATTCTATGGTAATATTAGATATAATAATTCGATTTTTTTCCCGTCAGAAGATAATAATTCAAGTAAGGTGTATAGTACTATAAATAATTTTATTTGTGGGTTTCTCCGAAAAATCCCGCGATTACGGGTTGTTTTTTGGTTTCCTTCAATCGCCCGCTCGCAAATCCATGGCTTGATCCAATCCCAGAAAACGTCCACCTTTTTCTTGAATATTTCATTTTGAATATGCACCGTTCAAATTATTGGGGTTTTCGTCGCCGGCTGGTACCCTTTCCGTTTCGTCTTGTTTGAATTCACAAATTCACAGGGTTTTCTCTGATTTCAGATCTGGGTTCTTTTTTGGACGCGGTTTCGCTGCTAAAATTTTGCAAAGATGTTTTGGCGTATGACTGGATTGTCAACTGCGTCTCCTGTGAGTTTCGCCTTTTTCTTCCTCTGTTTTTTAGCTACGCAGAGGTGTACGCCATTTCTCATGATTTTGATTGAATTCTGGGTTTTTTTTCTTCTTATTTTTACACGTGGATTTCTTTTTGGCTGCTGGTAAATAGCTAGAAGAATAATAATGCCATGAAATAATATGTTTCAAAGTTTGGAATGGTTCAAAAGCTACAAGTATTGGGTAGTCCTCATTGTTAGAATATTGGTACAATGTAGACTAGAGGGGCGTTTCACTCCGTACATTGTTCCATTCAAATCAAGTACATGGATCAGACAGCATTTATTACGGGATAAAATGAGAACCCTGCTTCCATTGGAATCAGTTAGCGTGTTTTCAAATTTGAAATTCGGTGTTTGTACTCTGGCATCAATGTTTTCAATATGCTGTTCCATCCATTGAGAGCTTTGGATGAGTGGATTGGAGTGCAATATTGTCTTTGTTCCCTTTGGTATACATTAGTATAGTTTAGATTTGCAAAAGGGACAATAGTTGGATCCTTTGTTTTTCTTTGAAGTAAGTGAGAATCTTGGGGCCGGGGGGGGGTGGATCTTATGCTTACTTTATTATTTTAGTTGCAGCAAAAAAGAATTCGCAGAATTTTTTAGAATTTTACCCAGGCTCCATGTTTCTCTAGAAGCCTAAGATGGCAAACCTGTAATGATTGTCTAGACGGGGCCTTTGTTCTTTTATTTGGTTTTCTTTTGACATTTTTTGTTTTTGTGATCAATGCAGATTAATTCAATTCTAGATAAGGATAATTTTACATTGGAGGAGCTTCTTGATGAGGATGAAATTATTCAGGAATGCAAATCCCTCAATGGACGGCTTATAAACTTGTGTGTTGTCTATTCTTTACATATGCTTGCTTTCTTTATTGTTTCAAGTCATAGCATGCTGAATTGCTCTGTACCATCATGTTTCTATCAAACAATAAAGTGCTTTTAAAATCTAATCTCCATGCAGGTATTTTAATATCCTCTCAAAAAATTTCGAGTTATTCGAGTTGACGAGTCCTATTTTATAACTTGGATTTGATTTGAATTTTTTTCGAGTCGAGTCGAGTTGAGGCAAATTTTCGAGTTTCTATTTAAATTTAATTATAAATATTTATAATATTATGAAATTATTTAATTCTAATTTAAATGATATTTTATAATCATATACAATACATATATACATTTTTTATATTTTTTCATATGTGATTTACATATACCATATAAAGTCGAGGGATTCAACTCAAACCTTGACTTAAACGTGAAAATTAATCTACTAATTACTAAAACTTTCGAGTTATTCGAGTTATATTTTACAACTCGATTTGAATTTGAAATTTTTTCGAGTGGAGTTTATGAAACTACAATTCGAACTCAATTAGAGTCGAGTTTTTTCGAATCGAGTTGAGTAAAAAAAAATCGGTTTTTTGAGTCGAGTCGAGTTTTGCTCACCCCTACCCTTGGTTTTATAGCTGGCTTCTTCTTCAAAGCCTAAAGGACAGAATTTTTGTTATACTGCATTTGCAGTGTGCTCGCATGGGAAGAAGTGTGGTCATCTTGGTTGTAACATGCCACAGAAGCATTTCGTTACTCCAGTAACAGCTATTAACGGCGGTGATCGATTTGTTATAAATAGATAACATTAGTAACCGATTTGTTATAGATCGATAACATTTGTGACCAATTTGTTACTTTTGAAACTTTAGTGGGAAAATGAAAACTTACTCAAACTTAAGTGACCTATTGTGTATTTTACCCTTAATTTTACTGGTCATCCAAATGAAGCTTAGAAGATGAAGTGAAAAAACCCTGTTGGACATAAAGGTGACCTCAAGAAGATATCAACAATTTCAAAGTAAAAGCACAAAGCCCAGTGTCCAAAAACTGTGACCTCAAGAAGATATCAACAATTTCAAAGTAAAAGCACAAAGCCCAGGGTCCAAAAACTATGTCATGGTTTATACTTGGAGCAGGTCAAGCTAAAGCATTTTTACCACCTGTAGTAGAATGTGAACTATCCAAACCTGTAGCTCATTTTCAATTAACGGGCAACAATCCAATTTCTATCTAAAATAGCATAAGCCATGTACCAAAGTTGTCTTGCCCACTGGCCAGTTCTTAAGAGATGATGAGTCAACTCAGCTTCTTTTCTGCATAAAAAGCATCTTTTATGCCAAAGTTCCTTTTTCTCACGTTGCTTCCATCTCAAAGAAAATATCCTTAGTTGTGAACTCAATAGAGGATGTAGATGGCTTGAATTCTGGCAGGGTTGGATATTTGCCAAGTTTAATCTGTACTTTGCAAATAGTTTGTATGTCAATGACTAATTTTGTATCTATGCTTTGCTGGTGTTGGTTTTTCTTCACTGTTGTCTTTGTTCTTATATGCAGTTTGCGGGAGAAGGCTCAAGTTGAACAACTTATTCAATATATTGTAGTAGAACCTCCGCAGAATGCCGATAAGAAGCAAATTTTCAAGTAGTTTTTAATAGTTTTAGTTGATCAGTTTGTAACTCTGTTCCCTTGATATTACTATATACATAATGTTTTGTAATGTTGGCTTTGTGTGATTGTAGGTTTCCTTCGATTGCATATGAGATATTTACATGTGAGGTTGATATCATACTAAAAACATTAGTAGAAGACGAGGGAGTACGAAGTTGACCCTTTTATTTCTCCCTTTTTTGTGGTTGTGTTTTTATTTATGTTAGTTTCTAAATCATTTTGTGTTTGCTCTTCTTGCAGTTAATGAACTTGTTATTTTCCTTTTTGAATAAAAATCACTCTCATAGCGCCCAGCTGGCAGGGTACTTCAGCAGGGTATTCTGTTATGAACTTTTGAGATATTCATATGTTTAGAATTGTAGCTCTTTTGCTTTCAATTTTGTTTGCTCTGTTTAATTCAAGGATTGAAAATATCTTGTTATGTATGTTTCATATTTGATTACTTTTTCTTGCTAGGTTGTCATTTGTCTGCTGTTGCAGAAGACATCGACATTCATGCAATATATTAAGGTGCATTTAAGATTCTATTAAACTTGATTGAGGTATCCCTTGTATATATTTATTCTGTTAAGACAGGTATGATGATTTTTTGTGCTATTACATGACATTTATGTGAATATTGTTTTACTTTAGTATTATATATTGAAAGTTTGACACATATCATTCTAAGAATGAACTTTAAATTTATATTTGCTTTCAAAATCTGATTTGATT